ACCGTATAAACATCATGTACAAAAATATACTGTCATATGAACCACAGCCTACAACCGTATAAACATCATGTACACATATATACAGTCATATGAACCACAGCCCACAACCGTATAAACATTATGTACACAACAGAAGCATATATATATATATATTTAATCCATATCAAATGCATAAAAACAAACTTTCTCCCATACCCTCTATATGTTTCTTCACTCCCGAGTTGATGGATAAACCTGCCAAGAGTAAATAACATTTTGGTTACCCACTAGTGGATAACACTATGGACGTTATTTAATTTGTCAATCTTTGAATTATGAAGTGAGTCAACAATGCTTTGCACCGTCATCTTTAATTATGACATCGTGATTCATGCCAACATAGAGTGTTCGATCGGAATCATAATAATGAATTTCAAAGAGAAACCTTTGGTTTTCTAGATATGATATGAAAAGTTTTGGGGAAGACATTCCCAAACTCGTGATAACTTATCATCTTGTTATGAAAATAAAAATAAAGACACACAGTAAACCTCGTGCCTTTAAAATAATTTGAAAATTAAGAAATCTTTGGTCAGTATGAATGTCAACTGAAAGCTATTCGATGCATATGTTAGTCCGAGCTTCCTGTGGCCCTAACACCAGACCTAGACATAGCCCGAGTTTCCTCTGGCCCTAACACCAGACGTGGACATTTTTACATTTATATATGTCTGGTGTTGGGGCCCCTTACCAGACATCTAGCCCCCACACCAGACATCTATATGTCAAAATGTCTAGGTCTGGTGTTAGGGCCAGAGGAAACTCGGGCTATGTCTAGGTCTGGTGTTAGGGCCAGAGGAAACTCGGGCTATGTCTAGGTTTGGTGTTAGGGCCAGAGGAGCTCGGGCTATGTCTAGGTCTGGTGTTAGGGCCAGAGGAAACTCGGGCTATGTCTAGGTCTAGTGTTAGGGCCAGAGGAGATCGGGCTATGTCTAGGTCTTGTGTTAGGACCAGAGGAATCTCGGGCTATGTCTAGGACTGGTGTTAGGACCAGAGGAATCTCGGGCTATGTCTAGGTGTGGTGTTAGGGCCAGAGTAGCTCGTGCTATGTCTAGGTCTGGCGTTAGGGCCAGAGGAAAATCGGGATATGTCTAGGTCTGGTGTTTAGAACAGAGGAAACTCGGGCCATGTATAGGTCTGGTGTTAGGACCAGAGGAAACTCGGGCTATGTCTATGTTAACGATTTAGAAATATATTAATCTCATAGAAAAATATATTCATTTATCAAAACTTAACATTTACTGTAGTTGAAATTAACACAGCTATCTTCAAGGAAAAGCATGGAATCCAACATTACAATGAAGACGATATAATTACATGACTACGGCATTTTTAGCTAATATGAATGTCGTCTAAACCAGGAATGCTGGATAACCCTACTGAATCATGCGGTTTGCGGCAGATTATCGTTCGCATATACTTTTGAGTTATCAATCAAATGCCGTATTCTATCTCAAATGAATTACAATTGTAAATATAGTGATACAATGTATAATTAATAGGCATATAGTCATATAAACAGTAAATGAATAGTCACATAAACAACATGTAGAAAGTAATATACAAGGGTTAACAGCATGGATACACCCTTACCCACAATTAATTCCCAGTATTTAAAATAACATGTAATCTCTAGAGTACGTCATGCGTTACAAATCGGTTAAAGTGCAAAAATGCTAAATACAGTAGGATTATCCTCTAAAAGAACATCATGAATTGTGATGTAAAAATAACCTTGGCGCTTTTTTACTGTGACGCGGCAATACAACGTCCATTGTGTTAGTATTTGTTGGCGGGAATGGACTGTTCAACGAAGCCAGTGTGCTTTGTAAAGAATATTTGACTGATGTTTTTGGTACTTGATGAGCAACTGTTACATATATATTTTAATCGTGGTTTTAAGATTAGCAACGTCCTTTCGGATATCCCGTTGATTGCTGTGATATAGTCTAAAGAACACTTTGCCATTGTGACTTTTCGATCGAATGCAAGCATAGGATAATCGCAACCCCATTCCATCTGATTTTAATCAAAACTAGCATAGACTCGTTTCCTGAATAGTGTGTGTGATGGTTGTTGAAGATTCTTCAATTCATCAGTGGGGTGAACTGCTTCTCGCAAATATCACGTAATCATAGATATATGGCCCATCAGAAGCGCAGTCAGACAAAATCACTTTCAGTCAAAATATGTAGAACCAAGCAAGGAAAGCCTTGGAACATCTCGTTCAAACTCTTCTTGTTTTCATTGATAAAGTCAAAACCGTATATGAAAGAAGTGTTTAATTTAGGTATGACAGACAGTAAGAAATACAGATGAATATCCATCAACCCTATGGAGAGATCGATTATAGTACCAATTTAATAAAACGAATTATTAACAGTAAATATGTCTCATTTTGGTATCTCAGTACTTTACAACTTTGATATTGCATAGCATACAAATTGACTACCGTTCTTCAAAGAATAGAAGTGCAATAAAATGTTAAATGGGAATTTTGTTTAATGCACTTTTCTGTGATAAAACAATGGCTATTTGTCCAAATTATTCGCCTTTTAGGAATGATTTGTATTTTAGTTTTATTAAGTATTACCAAGTTCACTAATCCGGACCAATAATTGATTTACCTGAATGAGTAGATTACATAATATTCAATTAAACTGCTTCTTCTAGAATTGGATCGGTCATCCCGGTACTGACACTCCGTGTCGTTTTACCATTGTGGTACCCTGTTTACCACATATATATTGTAAATACTGCATTGATTTTCTAATGACAAAAGAACAAAATAGTAAAACTGAATACAAATTTGAACTTATGCGTTCCGCATGAGCAGTTTACCTGGAGCTAAATAAATACAAAATATAAACTAGAATGGCATTCTTTCTGAGGCGATATATAAAGTCCAGTAAACAATAGAGTCAACACTACACTTTAACAATAGGTACTCATATTATTTGTTCTAAACAATCCTCAAAAGTATTTTTATCATCGGATCAGTCAATATTGTTGTTAGCACCCGATTCATGCCCAATGCTTTAGAGTTTCTGAAGATGTTTGTTGAAAATCTGTTTGTTTCAAAGTAAACCTGAGCGATCGAACATGGTACAAAGATAGCCTTATTTTATCGTCATGTATAACCCACTATGCTAAGTACAATTTCTTTATGCGAGAAGACGCTCGAGTGGGGTCGCCATATCGATAGCTAGGGTCTATATATATCTCGTTCTGGATACCGTATCTAAGATTGTATGTATATAAAACATGAATGCACCGTAGATCGCTATATCTACCCGGTACCGAAGAAACGATGCGTACATACACAACACAATGGCACAAACAGGTAGACTCATAACGCTTACAACTCTATTAGAGGCTCTTCAAACGATTTACAAAAGGGAATAATCCCGATAAGAGAAAATATGTAAGACAAACCGATTGGATTATTGTTTAGTAGTGTTTACATGTTTTCCGTATGATTATGTGAGCAGTTCAAGCAGGTATTATGAAGTACACGCATATTGGAACACCCGGCTCGGTTCAATAAAGAAATGTTCTAAAACTTTATGGCGTGTGCAATACCTTATTTCAATCAAATATATAAAGGAAATGAGTAAAGAGAGGAATTTGTATTCCCGTAATGTACTTACAAACTTCCCATTCAGTTGTGGTGTAAATAGCAAGCATGTCGAACGTATTGAAAACATGCCTAATGGCATAAACTGTCTGGTAATATTGATTTCGCTCACCGGAAGTCCCCACTCTACAACAAAGGATACAAGCGCCAATTAACCATATATTAGTATATTAATGTCGTATTACGGCAATGATGGATTCTGATAGGTATTGTTTCTTTCTGTTTGTGTTGGGTTTGAAGATCATCAAGTCACGAAGGTGTTTTTTTTCTCCCTCGACCTTCGCCATCTACGTGCTATCCCCGTGGTCGAAGCGTGACAGAACTGTAGGTATCTGGTGCTGTGTTCGTGTATAGAGGTTTTCCCATCACTATAGTTTCTGAATTGTTACAATACCTGTTTGTTTCGTTTGTATGGATTAAATTTAAGAAACTATATATTGGCATTTTGTCCAGCGCTAGACATATACAAGTACATATAGGTATTCGGAGGGCAAAATGTTTGCACATAATCCAAAGAAAGTACATATAGTTGAATACATGTACACTTAACTGAAACGAACATGTGCCCTGAATCTTACATAAAAATATTAACACCCCCAACCCAAACCCCGCTTACCCCCTACCCCCACACACTTCAATCGATAGTCCAGCTCTCATCCCCGTCTCTTTATAAATTCCATTCAGCCTCCTCTCTGTCTTTTCTCCTCATTTCCTCTCCACATTGCCCTGGTCTTGTCTAATTACATTTTACTACACCTCGATGTATGTATATAAGTTATCCTCCTATCGCAGCATGCATGTTCCCTGATCGAAAAGGTAACAAACAGAATATCGTTTCCAAGATATTAAATATAAAATCAATACCTTGTGTCAATATCACTGGCAGTTCATTTGTACGGCTTCCGCCATCAGACGGCCCTCACTTTATTTCAATAAACAGCTGTACTGCTATAATGCTCCTTGATAAATGACCATAATATACCACAGATGATTCGTTCAGTAGTCCTTACTCTCTGGCTCTCGTAAACATGCCGGGCTTTGAACGGTGATATTCAAGTGCTTGTCTAGAAAATCAATCATACATTTATTTTCAGTAAGTCAATAAATAGAAATAGCATAATCTCGTTTGTATGGGACATGGACCCAAACATAAGCCGGCTTCCTTGGGTAAGCGCTCATCGTAGTTGACTGTAGAAGACATGTTTGACACAAGAAGACCATAATGAAAATGTTTAAATATATTGTGGGCAACGTGTGTTAGCAATTACAATTATTTAATACTTATTATCATATTCTTACGTTTGACATGCTTTGTATTTTATAGGATGATGACTTTGCCTGTGACAACTTCGCCGTAGTTGAGCAAGCTGGACATGGTTTCAACGGTTTGTGATAATTAACTATTTTATATATTTACTGGAGTGTGATATATATACATCCTCAAGATGTCGGTGGTTGACAAGAAGAAAACATTCGACTTTCGAATGTCGAAAAAGGTGGCGGAATTGACTCAAGTGGTTCACATGCTTTTCACAAGGAACCATGAGAAAGAAGTCGAAATTGAAGCGATTAAGGACGCATATGAGTTTGAACTGTCTTTAGTATTAGAGGATGCAGAAGGTCGAATAGCTTCATTGGACCAAAAACGCACGGACCTGGAGGCATTACTAGATAAGGAAAGATTAGCAGGGAGAGAAAGGGTAATGGAGGCTATGCAGGAGCAGGCAAATGCAAGAGAGGAACATTGGAAAAAACAAATTGAAGATCTAGAGAAACAGTTGTCAGAGGAAAAATCAGACAGTCAAAATTTACGGGACTTGTTGATCAATGCGCAAAAGGATATTGAAAAATTACGAGAAGGAGTGGCTGAGCAGTTAAAGATTAAGAACGAAGAGATTCAGAGCAAAAACAGAGAACTTGAGAGGCTACGGCGGTTGTTAGCCGAGATGGAGAAAACTTCATCTGATAAAGAAGTCCAGTATCAGGAAGCAATAAAGGAGTTAGAAAGGACCAATGAGAAACTGGAGCGAGAGCTAGCTCAGCTCCAGGCTCTCCTAGAGGAAACACATAGAAACAAACTGCAATTGGAGGCGAAAAATGTGAAATTAGAGACAGATTTGAAAAATCTGAAGAAAGATTTCGGTAGGAAGGTAGCAGAGGTTGTAGCGACACAGCAAAGGCAGCAAAATCAGCAACAGCACATCGCGCCACCCCAACGGAGTGCGACCAACTTCACTGTAAGTAATCCGTGTACAGTACTTTACATGTAAGGATGTTTGTACTTTATAGTTTGAAGATTTAGTCAGTTACCACGTTATTATTAAAAATGTGTTACTGTATAATATATGGTGTCAAAAATATGTACATTTAGATATCATGGGTTGTTTTTCAAATACAATGTATATATATATATATATATAATAAATCGGTGTAAAATGTTTGGATTTATATACATTTGCGTTGTCGTGAGATGTGTTTGCATGATTAACACTTGTATGTTTATCGTTGTATATGTTAGTCTCTCTCTTTCATCGCAACAACTTCGATTGATAATGACCAGTTCAATTTACCATTACTGTCCGTTATGTTGTTCTATCATCATGGTCTGTCCTTTAAAACTGAAATCCAGCCTGAAAGGAGAAGAATTTCAGGTTGCTGTTCTCATTTGAACCATTTGACACGTTGTCATATTTCATCATATAATAATTGAATTGTAAATAGAATGCATCCTGAGCTTCTCTATGCGTATCACTCAAATATTACGTCACATTGTACCATAAAAGGTAGCTTTATCGTCTTTGTCATATCAAAAAACAATATCATATCGCCATTCTTCCTTCAACATATCTGTATTAAGGTAGCAATTTGAATGTGTTCCTTGTAAATAATTTATTGCACATTTTGATCAAATAAAAATAGTGTTATGAAGAACTATATCCTAAAATCATTGACCTGAAATAAGGAAGACAAATAACGCGGGTGAATCGTTAACATCACATTTTGGCACAGTGAACTGACTATAATGCACCATTATAAGCTGAGCGCTTCTTATCGTTATAAATGTAAGCCAGTATCGGGTGTGAGTCAATGGGCCCATTAATGGTACTTTCGTGTATATAGACAAATATTACCTGCTGAAGTAAACATCCGCCGCCGATATTGACAAACAATGCTCATTAGCCAGCAGTTGTATACGGGAAATCGATGCTCTGACAACGTTATTCATATACTCGCAATAGACGGATGTAGAATACAATCGAAATCTATAATAAATATAGATCCACTATCTAAATACAGAAACGTATATTTAACATTAGGGCTGTGAATAGCTGTGTAAAGATAACAAATAAGTAATAAGTATGAGATTATTTGCCATTTATTGACCACAGAACGACACGAAGTACATTATATACACGCAATATTGCGCAAGAGTTATATTTGCGAATCACCGAATTCAACATCAACGCGAACAATTCTAGTAAACTGATAACTCTTGTGCATACAAAACAATCTCAAATATCAGCACTACGCGACCTGGTATATTTCAAAATAAAGCGAAGATTTTAACAATGCGCAAACAGGAGCATTTTAACATAAACACGACAATTTTCCATTGTGCGAACTGGAATGTACTTTTAAACATTATTAGGTATGTTCGTTCTATACAAAACGACTATGTTTAACATAGTATATAATATGATATGTCTTAACTACAGATGTATGCATAGTCACTTGTTACATGTATTATTTCAGCAAGACAGAAATTGCTCAAAAAATCATCAGGTAAATCTTCTGATTACCCGAATGCATATAGAACCCATACAGGATGATGTAACACAAGTTAGTTTAAATTTATATATCGTAGCTATTTTTCCCGCATGATTTTTTATTCAAAATTATTATACTATATAATACTGTAGCATGTGTATCCAAATCCACATGGTGAAGGTTACAAATGAAATATTCAAGCATGTATTTCGAAACGTGTTACCATGCATCCTTTAATGCAAGAAATGAGTTTATTCGCACATAAGCATGCATGCATGTCCTATATCCATATTTATCGTTCCAATCAGCCACACCCTAAATCAAACAGTTTGTTCATTCGATTAACTTTACCATGGCATAGGTTTGCTTTGCATCCATACAATTTTCTATTTATTCATCCAAACCAATTGTGTGAATCATTCATAACTTTTTATTCGCATTTCAATTATACTAATTGTGGGACTCGGTCTACCATTCGTTTTATGAAATGCATCCATCCAACGGTGGTACCCACCATACCATTATTGTTAAATCAACAATGGGGGTTTTCTGCTATATCGCCCGTTTCCCGTTGTCATCTTCAAATCTATAACAACATGCTTATATCACCAAATCATGATTTGAGATTGTTGTGTTAAAGTTCCTTAGTCCAGTTGCACTTTTTATGATCATATATGTCAAGTATATTTTTGAGCACTTCATTTTCTTCAACGTTATGTTCATGTGGTGTGAGTTTTTGTATCGGAAATCGGGTTTTTCTATATCTCTTATTTCCACATTGTGCAAATAAATAAAGTGGGCCGACTACATTCACATCCACAATATTTCAACACCTGTCGTTATTTTTCTGCACTTTCATTACACGTATATATAAAGTAAATGTATGCTTCATGCTGTTTATCAGGCTGAATCCTTTCTTAGTAATACTGTTATATGTGTATGCCTGACCCGAACATTTCAGAAAATACAGATGCCCACAACACCTAAAGATAAAGTAAAAAATCAGGTAACAAGGAAGTGACTATTCACTACCAGACAGCAAGCAGACCACGTGTGGAATTATCACTTTCACGGAGAACTTGGTTTCTACATGTATTTCTGTCCTTAAATCTTCTCCTTGCTCTGATCAGTGCTTTATGTAGAATTCTTTAGTTTTTTTCCACTCAGATTACAGCTATATGTTAAAAATGGACCACTTTCACAAAAATGCCGTGTATGATTGACCGATGGCTAGATCAACTTATTAAATTTGAGTAGATATTTGTGTTGGTCGATGTCGTCAACCTGCCTTTGTCTTGTGTACCCTCTGTGCATTAATACCCACGTCTTTGTATCCATTTATTGTTCAGTGAATTGGCACGGGAGTAAATCAATCCTACTGAGTGTCCATTTGAGAAAAACAAATGTCTCTCTTCTCATAATAACTCGATAAATTAATTTTATGTAATCACGTTAAAACAACTGCGTATTCCCCTTCACCTGCTTTGCATGACAATATTTATGCCAGTAATCGTTAGTGTACATATATCTATTGCTAGATAATTTATGCATAGTAGATTATGTTTTATTACCCTAAATATTTGAAATATTATTTAACTTATGCATACATGTAAACTTGTTCAATTTAAAAAGAACGTTACTACGTCGAGCAAATATGTGAGTGGCATCCATTCAAAATCCAAGAATTTTTCATTGTAACATCTGAGTATGCAAATCTGCTTACAAGTCTTTGACCCATTTTCCCCTCTTTAACATATCATATACCAGTATATATAAATATTTTTAAAATTTTAACTAATCATCTTACAGTTTTCTGCGTAGCATAAGCATCATTGATATCATACTGTTATCTAGTGCTATACATGTACTTGAACCAGCAATAACAGTAGCATGGCTCGTCTATTAAACTATATAAAATCAAAAATAAGTGCAAGGAGCATAAAATTTAAGAACTTGAGTTTTAATCAATCAACAGGTATGCCGTGGTATTGACTTTTGAAAATTTATATTGATGTATATAAATTTGTTTAGGACAATATAACTACAATGCAATTTTTCTGTTCTCTATTAAAGTTTATTACAGTTGTGGGATCGCACAACGTTACACGATGTGCGGTGTGCGCACGATGTGTGCACGGTGTGTGAACGGTGTGTGCACGATGGGCGAACGATAAAAAGCTGAACGATCATTGCTTGCGCACATATGTGCGCACGATGGACGGACGTTGTGCGATAACAATCGTGGTTGGTGTAAATTGAGGAATGCCTTATCAATTTATACGGTTTTGTGTTTAAACAAATAAACTTGATGTTTACGTATGTTTCTATATTCTAGCAACATATATAAACTGATCTTTCTATCTATATATTCTTATATTTAGGAATTGTGTTTTCTGTGTTTCTAAACAAACAATCGACACATGTAAAATTACAAAACAATCCCGTATACTGGTAAACATAACCACTTTGTACATGTACCTGGACCGTAGTTTTCTCCCCGCCTGGGGCATTTACGTAACTCGTCGGGTAAGGCCGGGGGTGTGAAAATCCAGGTGAAGGGGAGCCCCCGGAGCTATAGGCAAACGAATGCAAATAACAAATACTATTCATTACGGTCAAACGGTATCGCATATCAGCTCTGTGTGNCCATTCTTGACAGCCTAATGGTCGCTGTAATACTGTGTAACACGCATTGTGAAATTGTATAATCTTGATTATTGTGATGAGAAATTACAGATATATACACAGTGTACATTATCGCATACAAGCCTTCCGTATTTTTGTCATTCCGTAATTTTGATCTACAAATGATACCAAACCGCACAGTTGTGCGGAGAGAAGCGCACAACGGGGCGAACGATTGCTAAATCGCACAGTTGTGCGCACCATGTGTGAACGATGTGCGGACGATGTGTGAACGATGTATGCTCGGTGTGCGCACGCTATTTTTGGTGCGTTGTGCGGTCCCACAACTGTATTTGATTAACATTGCAATGAAATATGTTTTTTACTGAGGTGATCTTTATCATCATTATTGTTTTCGGAATTGGACATGAATATATAATTATCTTTTTAGACGACATACTTTATTTTCAATTTAACAGGATTATAACGACGAATTAGAGAAACTTCGAAAGGAAGTACAACGATACCGAATGGAAATATCTAATCGTGACGGCAACTTCAATAGGATGTTCAGCAATAGTCAACCGATGGTGGTTGACCCCAGGGCCGGGAAAATCGGGGTCAGTCAGAACCAGATTCTCTCTGGAAACTCCGCCTCATACACCGAGACGATAGGACTTCCGGTCAGAGAAAAGTCATTCTCGTATGCATTTGTACAATCTATTGATGAAGTAAGTGATTTAAAGGCTGGCTAGACGTGGTGTGACATCGAATAACAAATGGCGCTGGTGTTCAATGGTTTGGACCTATAATCCTTATTTAAACATGCATGCTATCATACTGTGTATATCATATTGCTTGTTGTGTCATATCTTGGGAAACAATCACGCTTTTGATTTAAAAAATATCCTATTATTTTCTACAATTATACGAAAAATACGGAAATAAGAATCAAAGCATGATGCTGTGAACGTACAATAATAAAGTGTCAAAGATTGTGGTAAACGCAATACTCTGACAACTGGTACTGTATACATATCCCTTTCACACATTAACTGTATATAAGTTTGAGAATAGTTTAAGCAATGTACATTGTACCTACGGTATCTATATCAGATGTTTCTCACTGATATAGCTTTGATGATTTTTTTAAACGGGCACATCTAGTGACAATGTTTCCATATTCGATTTTGGCCACTTATCCTCGAGACAGATGCTAACCTGTCTTGGTTGTGATATTGTCACCACTTGCATCATACTATAAACAGTCATTTAAGCTGTTCTTCAAGTGGCAGGGACCTGAAGTACCAACTCTAGTCGATGTAAATGACAGTACGTTTCCAGTTGTAAAAATATTGTATAATCATATAACGTTTGAACCTTGACGTTCACCAAGCCAAACGAGTCGTGTTCAACCGCCAAGCTTTTGTCTTTATCTCGCTTACTCACCATCTTAATACTTCATTTTTTTGCTTTTAATGGTGTATTTGTTATTGTGAAATATAATAAACATAACATCTTTACAGTGATTTAGACATACAATGTATAACAATAAATACGGTAACGATAATATGTTGCATCCATGCATATTTAACTTTCAAATATTTGATAAAATAGATGTAAAAAATAGATTCATTTAAATAATTGTCAGCTTAATTCATAATGAAAAATATTTATAGTAATTAAAACAATACCATCGGCGTTTGTTTAAGTATAATGTTAAAGTTGTAAATTGTTGGTGTTTTTGAAACTAGATGTTAATACTAATCGATATCCTTCAGCAATTATATTTTCATGTTTCATTACTTTCTATATCTATATACTTACAGAAGCAAAGGCCGGCGAGCTCCCGTATTTCCTCGGCTACAGCGAGACTCCCTTCGCTGACACAGGAGCAAAGGTCAAGGTTGACCAAGCTGATGAAACCACGCCCTCTTCCCAAAGAGATGCTCTACGGCAAATGACATGAGGAGAAGCCAGGCTCAGACGCAATGTAAACAGGAAACTGGACGTAAATAAGTGCCAATATATTCAAACCAGATGGTCGAAACAGAAGTTGTTAATTTTGTGTGAAATGTATTTCTTTTATTTTTGTTTTCTGTTCTATTAGAATGTTTGAATGATATTGACTGAACTGATGAACATTGCGAAAGCGATGTGTTGATATGCACATGGCTTGTTCTTGCCTTATTGTACGTTTATGAGGGGGAAATATTGGCAAAAATTCTTCTAGGAAATGTATTACTGTTCGGAATAAATATTCGCAACCTGTAGCGTCATCTTGCATCAAATACTTCTAATGATGTATTTGGAAGCACACATAACAATACCAATGAGCTGTTCACATCGGCGTTATTTGTTATTATAATGATGGATTGCTACACGTTGAAAGTAATGTGAGACGCATTGATGTCGAGTCTGGCTTCATTCACAGATATTATAGTGTATCATATATGTTTAAAGGACGTTTGTAACCAATCAGGCATGAAGTTCGCAGAATAGGAAGAAAGCAATAATATGATCTGTTCATATATATGAGATAATTGAATAGTGTTGGTTTTTTTTGTTTCCTGTGAAGTCATAAAATTGATTGGTAAATCTAAACATTACATCTGTCATGCTTATATGGGTTATATTGATGTATACCTGAATATAGTAAACGCAGATATATGGGTTGTCTTAGTGATAGGATTCAGGAAAACTTTTTCACACTGACTGTATCAAGTCACAGTATAAGGGTACGCCTTAACAGAATTTCTTGTAAAAACAAGGTAAAATTTCATGACAATGTGTATGTTTTATTATTTATTTGCGATTACGAGATCACATATCAAGCAACTTAACAATGGAAAATACATGTCATTGTTAAAGTATATCACGTGATCCAAACTGGTACAATATACATGACTCGGAAAAACATTATATAAGTGATAATTAGTAAACCATACTATGTGTGAAATTTTAATGTGAACATTAATCATATGTGTTACTTTAAATATTTATGGGCACGTTCTTCCGTTGTCGTTTCGTTTACAAACCATGAAATGGATATGGCGGTCTTTAGGTACTTAATTTATTTGATAATGATGTAATGAAGTCATATATTCACTTTACTGAAGTTCGCGCCTCCACTGCAACTACAAATACTAAGAAAATAAACACGCAGAAAAGCATTTCAGATTATATAGTATTACGTCGATATGCATGATTTACAGGGAAAATAGTTGTGATGTGATCTACAAACCACTTATACTCTAATGCCATGTACACACGAGATATTGAATAATATATATGTAAATTGGCGTCTATTGGTAATCATTTATTATGTATCATACGTGTTCCCATTTCATACAAATTATAAACCGTCCATGTATCAATACATTGTTGTTTAATATGTGCCAAACAATGTGAATATGTGATTGACAAAAACTAATAAATGTGGAAGCTCAAAGCAGTCTTAGTCATTTATTATAACAAAAATATAATACATATTAAATATTACCGTTTTCAGTTGGGGCATTGTAATGTGATGCTGCTTAATGCGATCTTAACGTTGTAAAGATGATATCGACTTATTTTTCTGGATTTGTCATATTTTTCAGACAAATGTTTTATGCGTATGAATCTGCAGTGTGCATCAATCGTGATAGCCATACCAAAGCAACTGCATCAATCGTGATAGCCATACCAAGGCAACTGCATCAATCGTGATAGCCATACCAAGGCAACCTTTTTGCTGCATGCTTGCAAACGAATTCTTTATATGTCCGCCAAGGCCTGTTAAAGGAAACACGATTATATACATACATATTATAAAGGCAAGGGAGATAACCCTCCTCTCGTGTCTTACTCCAAGCTACATACATCAATACATTTAATTCCCATAGTACAAATGGTATGACCGTTTAAATGTCCTATTGTAATCCAGCTAAGAATTTCACTTCATGTTCACACATCGTTCTTATGCGTATCCGGGTATTGTGTTATCCTTTCCTGTCCAAAAATTTGCTTCTTCCAATGTAAAAACTTCGATCAACTTCAAACTTCGCACATGTACAAAATATTCTTGCCTGAGGAAGATGCTTATTGTTTCTCATGGTCAGAAGTTACAGGCCTGACTCGCACGTGAAGGGAAATATCGACAATTCGTTTCCGGATGCTGTCTCTTCACTGAAACTTTCAACGTCGGAGGTAAAAGATCAATGTAGTAATGCCACTCACATCTGTTGACGGGATATAATTCCACGTTTGTTATTGTTCTTGGTTATGGTTTTAACTCATTGTCCGTGTGTCTTCCAAATGGGCACGTTTGCTTTATGGACATACTTTTAAAAAACTATTTTCGAAACTTTTTCTTGAGAAAAATCTAACATTTCTGAGAAGATATGCAATATGAAGAGCGGAACACTTCAGTCACACCACAGATCAGCACGAGCCTTTTTCACCCTCAACAATGATGGCAAATTATTCATGACAGCGAATATTATTACATAATATACCAGAAATTGTACTTGTGAATGGTAAACTTCACAGAGGACGAGTGTGGAATTTTCAGGTGAAGGGTGAAAGTTAACTGGGCGATTATTTTCAAGTACACAGTATTATATGGTACAAATCAAGTAAGTATTGATAGTTCCTCAGTACAATGAATGTACAACAGTTATTTGTACAAACATAATGAACTATGCTATTACTGTTTCAGAATGACCATTATATACACAATAGGTACCAGTAAAATAAATACAAGATACATGTACACCAGATGTACATGTAGTCGAGATAGCATACCAATAAAGTGTTCAAATTAGTATGACATCCATCAAAATTAATAAAATCATGTTGGTTTCATTTCTTCGAATGCGCATGTCCTGATATAAACGCAATGGTCGAGCTTTTTCGCGTCACGTACAGTGTCATTGGGTAAATCAGCAGAAATTGACATCTTGTCCATTAAATGACTTCCGTTGCTTATAATTATAACATTGTGGAAGCGGAAGGTATCTTTAACACCTTACAAAATACATTTAGTATCCAAAGCGTTATATCACAAGGCAGGTCAGAGTCCATATCCGTCGAAGACAAGGTTTCAGTCAAAAAGCAATACTGATTTTCAACATCACTTAAAATACCTAAACAATTCTCGTTGTCATTCATACTACATGAAGCATACGAGTTCCCTGAACACATTAATGAAATACATTCAAACAAAATGATTCTATACATATATTTTATTTCGAGGATTTTTAAGACACATTGGATAATTATGAACAACTCTCAATGTCAACATTTTTTCAAAATACAAACACAATACAAATTATAGTTAAACTCATATCCATGACATACTTAGTACAGCACAGGAATATCTCGCTGGTCATATACTTCTATTCAGCTATATATCTGTTTCAATAACGTTTAGAAACACGATTGTTGCATTATATAACGACAACCAGTTTTATGCTAAAAATTATGCTGCATACCATGCATTTTTTTCTTATTTAAACAAAAGGCCGGTTAAAAAAGCATGAATCGTTAATGAACATATCATAAAAATCTACAAAAAAATGCTATGTCTAGCGGGGGTGCAATATTCCAAGAATACAAACCTAACATTTAATCAAAAGTTATGGACGAAATATCGGTATTTTTGTGGTTAGCAACAACTGAGAACTTTGCTGTCAGAACTAGTTTTTGGAATTGGTTCCCAGTCATCCTGGTAACCAAGATGTTTGATGACATTGGTAACGAGTTTTCAAGACTAGATAAATGTCCGTCGGTACAAGTTATGTATAACTAAAATTGAGACGCAAGTCTTTACAGCACAGGTAATAATACATTTTGACCACACTTACCAGTCTCGTTTAAAATAATATCAATACAAGAAACAAGAATGTTCCAAATAGGTTCATTTTAAGTTGATTTAAACCACATTAAACTTATTTAACACAATGGCTATGTGTAATCTATATATATAACCAACTCCACGGTATAACCATCTCCTTTAAACTCTTCCGACAATAAGCAATAATTTACTAACAAAACCTAGCATACAAGCGGACAGGTAGAGTAACACACATATATATTTGGATAGGAGATTCAAACATATAGATGGATACATACGATGTATATTTTTCGAGACAGCGTAGTTTAACTGTTATTCATGGTTTCATCCTCAAAAAATGTACTGCTACGGCTTTCTATGCTTTTGATCATAAATGTTTCCGGAATATGAATATCATATCATTTACTGGGAAAAAACGTTTCGACATAACATCTTAAGAATGGCAAGAGTAATGCTGATTAAAAAAAACAATATTTAGGCAACATCATTGTATTTTAAACTCCGTTTTATGAAATAACACTTTAATTTCTGGAATGTACAACTAGCGTCAGAAATAACAAAATCTGTTTAGATTTCAATATAATGCTGAAACTATAGATATCATTACCATATTTGAAGATAGTAATTTTTCCTTCAAACGAGATTTTCTCCCATAAAATAACAAAACGGCATTTCATAACATTTCCTTTTTTCTGTTATTGTATGCCTTAGAGATTTTCTATGTTAGCATTTACAACTTCATTATGTCAACGATATAAAATAATATCACATGTTTTTTCTGTCTTCTTCCATGAAATAATTATTGCTCCAGAATATTCAATATCACCACTGAGATCCAAGTCTCTTTAATGACTGTGCGTTAATTTATGTCATTATTACCATTTATTAGTCCCTGAGATAAAGAATTAATTATTCCTGCCACGTGTGACATGTGTAATAAAGCTTTCAAATGGCGACACACCTGTAGTTTACCCTGACACGTGCAATGTACATGTAATATAGCCGTCAATAAATATCCAGCACACACTTTGGTGAAATACTGAATTAACACTGCAAATCACAGATACACGAGTAGATTATCTTGCAGTTTCAATGGGTAGTCATCATAAACATTCAATTCACTAGCACTTAAAATATCTTATTAACGTATATTATATGCTACCTTACACTAATAATTCAGAGGATTTGTCTCTCTTAAAAATGAATCAACATTAACACAAAAATAGAATTACCGGAGATTCAGAATGTCTGTGTTTTGTACCATTCAAGTGTGCTATTAGTAAGCTAGCAATATATATGTGTAATGTATCTTTCAAATGTGTTATCAGTTACATAAGGAAAGCAGGTGAAAATGTAAGTCAACATATTCTTAAACGTAAGAAATGTTTTCAAACACCCCGATATGTTTATTGCATAAACTAGCCATTATCTTGGAGTAAAATTTATTCCATTAAGCCTATATTTATAGTAAGTGTAATTTCAGAAATAAAAGTGAGTGAGATGGGGCAGTGGGGCATTTTTTGTGATCCCCACCAACATTTTACCTGAGGTCCACATCATGTTAGCAACAATTAATTTAGACCCAAGCATCCATTTATTATAAATTGTAACAACTTTCCTGAACCAATCCCTTATATATTTTGATGACATCAGCTATTTAACAATTTAAAATATCCAACTTATAAACTATGACACTGAACATGATTATCTCTGCAAAATATACATTATGTAGCTAGGTCAATGATATTTTATTTACCGGTATGTTTCTTTATAATGTGTGCTGCTTTCATTTCGGGGTGCTAACGATATTATTCCTAAAACAACTTTATATTGTTTCGACTTCACCCTACTTTACTTATATTGAACAGTCTCATATACCTCTCTATGAGATTTTTTTTGTGGTACTTGTATTTTTTGTTCTGATCACGAATTTATATAATTCAAAAATATAAACTCTCCAAAGTAGAATTGCAATATTGTGTACAAATACATGTTTTATTCTTGAAAGTGATTTTATTAATCTTTGTAAATGAGAACCCTGGTTTTCCTTATTGTTATTCTTAAATAATTAATTATTGCAGTTGTGAAAAAACACTCACCAAACCAACAACATCTTGGTGAAGGTATGATACGCTTGTGATTATTTCTGCCCTTTTGTGACCATATCCCACTTTTTTTTTAATAAATCTCACTTTCTGAACTTGTACACATGTAGACCCAAATGGACCTACTAGCTGAAGTTATACAAATGTAGACCAATACCTACTAAATCTCACTAATTGGGCTAGTACACATGTGTACAGATACCTTATAAATTCCATATGGCCCACTGTATCTACACATGCAATTTCATTAGCTTCACTGGTACACATGTGTACCGATACATATATGCATCCACACGCTCACAAACACATGACAATACTTTCCAAATCGTGAGGTCATAACCACAAAAACGTTGATGGATGGATGGATGAATGTTTCAAACATGAAATATATATTATGTACAACAATCTTTTTCTGCATGTGTATTTAGGATGATAGCGGTATTGAAACTGGGTAAACTCTTATTAATACTTCTGAGATCAAATGTGATTCCATAATTCTGTATTTCTGTCATGAAATTAACATATTGTAATTTTTCACAGGGATTCTTTTTATGTATAACAGTAAAATATCAAACGTCAAAGTACAGCTTTTCTTATAAACAAGAGATTCAGTGAGCATAAGAAGATTGTGTTCTTGTCAATGTAATGGAATTCAAGTGGGTACAGTAATTCACAAATACCACCGATATGAAAAGACAAATAAAAATATATTGTAATCCTCCATTGTCAAAGCATGACACAGTCCTTATTCTACAAAATGTATCAACACTGAAGTAGATAGTACTTTCTCTTTCCAAAAGAATTGTACTTGCACTAACTTCAGGTGAGCTAAATCGAAATATTTAACGATGAAATATTACACAAAACACATTCCAAAATGTTATATCATAAATGTATCACAAATTTAAAAACAAAACAAAATAAAAAGCATATAACTATATGTATAAGTATTTACACCATATCAGCCAGAAGAAAACTAACTACATAAAAATATACATTTTTAGTCTGAACTTCTGTTCAAATGCCTCTTAATGTAACAGTCCCAAACTTTCACAAAGCACCACAATAATGTGTCCACTAGCTGGTTCCTATCACAATTGTCAATGAGTGCAAAATTCGGTCAATTAACCAAATCTATACAACAGACTCTGAGAGATTATCAGTCTGAGAAATTCTCTCCCACAACAGCTATAGGCCCTGTCAAGGAATGCTTCAAAACATGTCTTAAACATACCATTCTCCAGTTAATAACAGTTCCAGTATGTGGCAGACGAACAGAAAAAGATCATGAATTATTTGGTTTTCTTATTGAAAGATTATAACATAATAAAATCATACTCCCTTAAGGAAGTCATCTGATTAGTTAATCCTCTATTACATCTTAGGTGCCAAATGGAATTTTGTTAGTCAAACAAACACATGTGTGACTGGCTTTATATTTACTTCACTGAACACTGCCTGTCAGGTTATCTCCCCTTACTACTGACCTATCACAAAATCTCTTTGGTTAAAATCACATTTCATAAAGCTTCACGATTCAAACTTGAACAACGACAATACCATCAACCCTGTTTCTGAAGTGTTAAGTATCACTCATCCAGAGTGAAAAAGAACACGATTACAGTCCAACTATCTATGTTTTATACAAAACAGTTCAAAACATCTTTAGCCCTAGCCCTCAAGGCCCAAAAACGTTTATCATAGAATGGGACTGTACAGACAATCTCTCATTTCACACTCTGTTCTCTCTAACTGCAATGAGACTCCACTAACCCAACCTACTTCAACTGCAGTAACACAAAATCCTTTCATTTCATATATAATATATCACAACAAACCAATATCACACCAATCCCACCTCGACTCCAACCTGCTTTTCTGTTACACATTGCCAATAAACATTCGTAACAACCCTTACAAGGAACTTTACTGTCCAACACGTAACTGTGTCCTTATTTCACAAAAATCAGCAAAATGAGATATTAGTATTGATGAATGATCTCAAAAAAATAAGGCTACTCAAACTGGTTAAATCAGAAGAGATGAACAGGATATTTGACTCGAATGAGTTCTTAAAACATAACTGAGGCAACATGTAACAGTTTTCTACTGGATTTTGTTCCTCCATACCTCCTCTCTTTCTCTCTAACCTCTCACACTTGTTTCTTTAGCTCAGCACCTTCCACTAACAGTGACATTACAATATCAATGATAACAACTTGTATATATTTTAAGGACATAACAACTGATAATCTTACTGTTTGATTTTTATGAGACATTTTAAAATAAAATATGAACATCACAAAATAAGCTCACTATGGCCTTTGGCAATGTGAGCTACAAAACGTCGACAAAAATATACATGACAAAAACATTTAAATGATACTGTTACCAGTACAATCAAACACGGATGATCTTTATAGATATCTTATTTACACATGAATGAACACTAGCAAGTAGACAAGATTCTTGTAATTTAATTTTTGTCACAAAATGAAAAAATACACTCTTGTTTTAAAGCTTAGAACTATATAGTGATTGCTTTTATGCTCCAATCAAATATGAATTGAATTTGATATTCACTGATCAAATATGTTTGAACAGCTTTTTTTTTAATTAGTTAATATGAAAATTGATACTTCATAATACTTTAGAAGTATATTGTAAGTAGTATTAGAGTAGACTGTATTCTTCGTTGGATTCAGTATCATTCTTAGTAAATTATATATAATAACACTGTATAGTTTTTATCAAAGTTCACATACCACTATATGTTTCCCTTGTATCATAAATAGCACTTCGTAGGAAAATCACAGAAATATATCACATTCCTTTCTGCACAGATTACGGAACATTTAAGACATGGATTTTTAATCTTTTGGCTTCAAGTAACACTAATGAGTCCTAAATGCACAAAATGGCTATATGGTGCAGTTTTGTTTTTTTTGGCTTCCTGCTTTGACTTAATTTTTTTATTTTAACTGTAGACCATAATGGACTCATCAAGATCACTTTATGGTAGAGTTTATTAAAGTCACATAGGGGTGAAAGGGTTAAGTAGGTAACTCCTTACAACATATTTTTAGTGGTTATCAAATCCTGATCATCACTTTTTATAAAAATATTGACAGAAAATTTTCCTTTAAAATATCATACATTCACTTGTTATTAATGAACACGATGTATCTTCCTCTGATAAGAAACCTACTTCATGATCCAATCGTTTTTTTATCCATAGATTTTTGCACACAGGACTACTACTGACTTAAATACAATGTTTTGATGCCTGATTTTATGTGTTTTTGTGAATTGTCTGAAACATACCATATTTTATGCAGAATAAAGAGACCCATATCATAATGCAGCAAAATTAAGTATTTAAGTTCAACAGATTTACCTCCCTTTAAAGATACATTCTGCTAGTAATTAATGGTGGCAAGACATTTAGGCCAAAGGAGTAAGGGCTCCTCATTAAGAAATTAATATTCGAGGGAAAAACTGTAACAGTAATATTATTATGAATGTAACATAGATGTTTCTGACATTTACAGATTATTAACAAAATGTACATAAGGAGTTACTGTACTTGTACAAACGCATACTTGCCAACTCACGCTATTTTGGAGAGAAACTCCTGATTTTGGACCCTAAAAATTGAACATTTTAAACCGGTGAATTGTATAAACCAATTATTTTATCTTAGATCTGATGATACATATTTCATACCTCATATTTATGCTTTTAATTCCGAATACACAGTATCTCCCGATAGACATTTTGAAAAGTTGGCAAGTATGCAAATGTGTTGGAACAATCGTATTAAACTACCATATACAGCAAACTCCTTTAACATAATCGTAATTAAGTGTACCTGGGACAATGACCAAATACCCTGGTACTGTAGGAAATGCTGATGGTCATGATGACACTTAAATGATAATTCTATCACTGGACAGTTAAATGAATCTTAAAATGTATATATACATTGTATCGGTAAATCTGCCTAGATGTTAGACCATTCAAATACTACACTTAACAGGTGGATTTCTGTTCCTTTAAATATATATCAACCCTGCTATATTAAATATATATTTTAGGTACATGAAGTAACAATAGCTTGATATGCTATAAGAGGTATCACTTATAAATAACACAGCTTTCCAGATACAGCAAGTCAGACAAATAGCCTATATATATATAAAGGCAAAAAAAAGGAAATTCCAGGTACTCATCTAAAAACTGATAAAACCCAGATTTTAAAACTTTGCAACAATAAATATGCTCCCTTATCTTACACAGTATATATAAAGTCCATGTTCTGTACATGAGTTATAAACAGTGTAACAGATATCAACAGGCTCATGTACTCCATGTACACTGTCTAGATCAACTCACAAAGTTAATTTATTGTGGAGGAATTATGCAACTTGTGTGTTCAAGTCATTAAGATGTTTTTAGGAGGTCAAAGTCATCTGCTTGACAAAAGCAGTGATTTTCATAACTACTTACCACAAAGATCAAGGTTTAATAGCAGACAGCATTCAATTAGCATTAAACTTGATTCTTTTGATAACAAATTTGCCAATTATTTATTCGTATCTTACTTTAGACTAATAATAAATTATTTCAATTTGAATAGAATAATAGAAGTATAGAGGATATCCAACAAGCGATGATTTATGGTAAGTAGAGATATCTAACAAGAAACATGATTTAACATCTCCAATCAAATTAAATTTGATGTTAGACATGACATCATAATGTAAGTGTGAATATTTTTACATCACTCCACATAATGCTATTGTACATGTAATATTACAAAATAATATCAGCCCCGGACTTGAAGTGATGGATTCCAAAAAAATATTCTGATTTTGAATAGGGCTTAAGTTGTTATCCATACACCAACTGTCATTCTGGTATGGACTTGAGCAGTTTCCTGATGAACTACCATCCAGACAGTGAGACACTGACTGAGTTTTAATGTAGACAATAATTGTTCAGACATTAACAAATGTAATCACTGCATACAGTCGTTAATCTGACACTGACTTACTTAAAGTAGCCAATAATTATTTCAACATTGACTTGATTTGAAAGGTAGAAAATAAATAATCAAATGCAAGTACTGTAGACAGTCGCTCTTCTGCGTTGACTTGATTTGCAATGTAGATAATTGTCATTTTGAAGTTGATATCAGCCAACAGTCTTTGTGATAATGTGTATTCTGTGAGCTGCGTCTCACACCATGCCTGGGCTGGAGGCCGACTGATCCCCACCATCACTACTGGTCGACTCCTGTTTCACTGGCTGCCGCATACGCTTCAGCATCCCCGGCTCAAACTCTGGGTGGCGACGAGCATGCTTGTTCAAATGGTCACTCCTCATAAACCTCTTCTCACACAAAGGACACTGGAATTTCTTCTCACCTAAAAACAACATAAGCACAGATGTTGGATACTAACTTCACAAGAAGATGCATTTTTTTTTGATTTTCTAAGGTTTTTTGTTATCGTCCATATATCAGTGCATATGACTTACTTAAATGACCTTTGACCCTCAAAATGTTACAGACATAACTAAAGGGGTCATAATACATGATAAATGCTTGATTTTACCCCAACTTTCATGGCTGTCAGAAATACAGTTACTGAAGCAGACATTTTTCATTAAATTTTTGTGAATTAAATTTTTTCTTAAACTTTCTCATTTCTAAATTATGCATGAAAAATTAAATGATGCAAAAGCAATGATCTAACAAAACTAAAAAAATCTTATTTTTACATCATACAAATTACTCAAAGACAGCTCTTAAGTTTTCAAACATATATTCCCAGCTAAAAGACTTGCAACACATACAGTATGCATGTATGATTGGTATTTAGGACAAGACATTCTATTTTTAGCATTTCTGCTTATCTCATGTCTCACCTGTGTGTGTTCTTATATGGCGTGCTAACTCGTCAGATCTGGCAAATCTTTTCTCACAGGCTGGCCAGCTGCATGGGAAAGGGCGTTCACCTGTGAAACAATGAGATAACAATACTCTACTGTTAATTTCTCTTGTTGGACAAAAATACACCATACAGTATGTGTTAAGGGAGGTTACTCTTGCAGTTATACATGAAACATAATCAGAGTCTTACATTTTATAAATGGATGGATAATAAAAGATGTTATAACTATTTCATCAATCAAAAGTAAATCATTTTATATTTTTAACATGATACCATAATTTCTCATTTAATTTTACACAAGTATTTTTTAGGCCTCTGAGTGTCTTTCACACAAATCACTGCTTATGAAAGGTTCAGACTTAACCAAGAACCACACTACAGCCGTACAGGTCATGTTAGAATTTTTCAATCATGAATATATTTTGGCCTAAGACCCAATCCTCTCCTAATCACTGGAGAACTTAAGCTGTTATTCTTATTTGCTGTTAATAGTTTTTATTTGAAAAGTGATAAATCTGTGCAAAGTTATGTATCATAAATATTATAAATAAAGTAAATAAATAATACCGATCAAGTTTGTCAGCAAAGAAGTATTCCCTTACTCATGATCAGAGTCCAGATTTTCTCAAACTCAAACCATTTGACCTGGACATGTTTTTACCCACTCTGTTAAAATCTAGATTCTGATGCTTAAATCACAACTTCAAGTATATTTATTTAAAATAGAAAATGGACTATGACAATACTGCTGCTTAAATTTGTAAAAAAAAACAAAAAAAAACATAGTAATGCATGCATTGTGCACTGTACATTTTGAATTTAACATTAATCAATGATAAGTAATAAATGTATGCATTTATAATAGAGTTCCTGGTTCACCAGATACAGAATTAATAAGAAACAACTCATGTTACTAAATATCCCCAATCGTTAGCCTATAGGATATAAAGGTTTTATTTATATAAATATATATATACATCATGTATATATTTATATATTAAAATAAAACCTTTATCCTATAGGCTAACGATTGGGGATATTTAATACACATGAACACCTGTCTATTCATTCTTAGTGTACAAGTTGTATATGTAAATCAGTGAAATTGATATACCATCAGAGCATCTACATCAATCAAGAGAAATTTGAATACAGGTGACGGGGTAAATGTTTAGAAGAGCTCTGATTGGCTGGAGGTTACAGCTGACACACGCAGTGTCAGTGTACATGTCATGCTCCAGTGGTGTTGGGGTCGATTACTTATTGCATATTATATAGTACATCAACATTTTCTTTGATCTAAATGTATTTGAGGGGGAAAACTTACTTTGTGTACAATCTGTTCATGAACAAATCCATTATTAATTTTAAGGGAAATTACAATAATATTCAATATTGTCAAACTTGTACAAAAATGTATAATGTATTGAATTTATCATTATTTTTTTTAATTAAACAAATTACTTCAATACTTATATGATAGCACAAATGTCTGCAGGTACAATTCATGCTTTGATTTGGGTCAGCATTTAGACACTGGAACTGTTGGTTACAAGCTGGTTCATAAACTTAAATGACACCATCCATACTAGCTATAGATTAACTGTATAGCTTTCTCTGTCATTTCAGGTTTTTTCCCCTTATGCTTAAAAGTGAATAAAAAACATTCCTAAATTGAATGTCTGAATATCATGTTTGATAATATACTTATACTTGGTATGATGACATGTGTTGTTTTAGGAGCCTTCAACCCTTACCGTAAAAGGAGCCTTTAAAATCAGTAATTATGATTATATATTTATGTGTCTCACACAATAAAAACGATAATGAAATATACCTGTACTGAATACTGTACAAGTCAAGAAATATCTATCTATGTCAAAACACAATAATCAACGAGCTGTTTCTACGTTAGAGATCTATAAATAAACACAATGAAACACAGTCACATAGACTTATATAAATTAATTAACTGAAAGGAATTAATTCTTTTAGTTTTAAACATTTTCCACTAATCATTTACTTTATGTTCATAAATACGTTCAAGGGATTGTTAAATGACTGACGAAAACATTGATTTTCTTTCCTCAGATCACCACGCCCATTACTTCAGAAACCATGTGGCCATGGTCGTCTAATCAAACAAAGAAACGCTTATTCTAATTTAAGACATGTTTACCTGTATGGGTCCGAAGATGTGCCTTAAGATGTGAACTCTTCCCATACACCTTGCCACATCCTTTAAATGAACATTTATGAACTTTCTTGGCCCCACCAGTACGTCCTTTATTGTAACTGTGATCTTCAGTGTTACAGTCAGTGGGCGTGGTACCATGCTTTGAGCGCTTTCGTTTTCGTGGCGTGTTGGTGTCCAAGAAATTCTCGTCATTTGGCACTGATCTGTAATTATAGCTCTTCAACTCACTGCTAATATAATCATGATCTATTGGCTCTTGTTTGAATTTGCTCAAGTCCGTCAATATTCGAGCTAACATGACCAAAGAGTTCGAGTCTGTTGTAGTTACGTCGTTAGCTTCGAAAGAAGCCATTTTACAATCAGCTGGTTCTGCCGTAACAACATATGGATTTGACATCGCAACTAAACACTGCGCAGCCAAATCTGTATCAAAATCCCTCCTTGGTACTTCTTGTAAAGCCATAGTTTCTAAAAAAAACAATTAAATCCGTTGATTATAATCAGAAATGTCGATGAAAATGTAGCACGGTTTCCGGATGTTTATATTCTTCCTTTGTTGTGTTTCACAACCAGACGAAACAAAAAGTGCTACGGTATGACATCAGCAGTGGATAAGCGCTCGATGAATTGAATGGTAAACATAGCCTTGCCCAAGAAATTTTCATCGAAGTTGTCGTCTGCCTCGATTGTCAGTCAAGAGCTCGGTAGGATTCAACGAAGTGCGGTCGGTCAATGCTATGCGTGTTCTGACCGCGTGCAGTGGGCGTAACCTTCTCGCATAGGAACTGACGTCACGATCTATCTGGAAAGGTCACAAAAAGCCCGCGAAATCGGATCATGTACGTAGTACAAATTTAACTTGGCGAATCCTAGATAGATTTCGAAGACGCGTTACCGTAGATCTATGCTATCCTTCTAAATTTTATGTCTCGATTTTAGAGTTTGTGAACCGAATTAATTCAGATATCTGCAGATCAAGTTCTATCCAGAGAACTCTTTGCTTGAAGCACGGAATTAGATCTACGGTCCGTGCTTGAAGCCAGTAATTCCATTCACATTTCTCAAAACTAGCTTTTTCATTTTTTACCTAACGGTCAAGTTCACAATGATTTGGTTATTCAGTTATAGTCTGTTATTAATAGTTTATAGTGTTTATCTTAATATCAGCTTCATCAAATATTAAGAAAAGTGGTTATTTAATCTTAGAAAATACCGGCGGTGTTATCAAAATGATAGTCAGAACAGCAGATACGTTTTATAATAAAATAATACGGTCTCTGTCAAGTTACAAGAAAGCCTCACTTATATTTGAAAAAAATTCAAAGATTTACATTATTCTATGATATTTTTGTCTTAATATCAGCTTAAAAAATATTGGAAAATTGATTAATATTGATCAGAAACGGTACGGTTATTGAGTGCAGACAGGACTTCATTACCAAAATATTATTAAAACACGGGAAAATTTATACAATAAACTGCATTTCTTAAGATTCTTTCAATGTTAAAACATTTTGATGATTTAATTATCATAATATATATAGTTTTGATGTTTTTGCATCTGCTTTGAACATCAAACAAAGAAATTATTAAAATTAAACACGGACCCGGAATAAATAGATTTCAGCCTCCTGATGCTCCATGGGACCCACGTGCACGCAAGTGGTCTCTATATAGACATTCGATAGTACTTTTGACCAATTTGATTGCTGCGTTCAACATCCGAACAGTGGGATGCTGTACAGGTTCATTTTTTCCCCGAACATGCACAAGAGAAAATCTAAGAAAATAGGACGCTTTCATGGTGAGAAGCCATATCAATGCATTTAAACGTTTGTTTGTTTGTTTGTTTGAGTGGCTATACGTCCGCTTCACTTCCGAGTATAGTTCGGTTATCCAGCCACTAACAGAGGCTTACAGTGTATATACTTAGTATACTTTATACGTCTCTGCTCTAAATAGGGGCATCCGACAGAACATATTAGTACACTAACATTTAAATCACTGAATAATTTCATTATTTTTTAAGTTGTAGCTAACATTATAAATAACACTTAAGGGTTCATCACAGGCGTGATGGTAATTTACCTGTGAGATGAAAGGAGAGCCGAACTAACGGAGGCAAGGTGCGGGTGAGGATATAAAGAGGGCTGGCACTGGTAGTTGTAATTAGTAAAACCACTCAATCAATCAGTTGGTAATTGTTATCTCACTTTTTGGGCTAGTTAACATTCTAGCTATCTATGACGAGGTGATATACCACAATTAAACACGCCATTCATACCAAATTTATTACTATATATTAATTTACTAGAAAATATGTAATTAACTTGACCTTGAATGTATTTGATTTCTAATTAATTATTTTATTAATTCCGTGGTGATACATATTCACGATTTGTATGAGCTCAGAATATGACTGAACAGAACCAGTAAATGAATGTATGTTTTATTAGTATAACCACGGATAGTAAATATAATTCCGTGGTATAACCTGATCACGCTATATATGATATGCTATAATTATCTAGCTTGAATACCACGATGTTAACTTTGCCTTGCTGTATATAGATCTTGCGTCGTGTTTCTAGTGAACTTTGAAAAAAAAATACTGGAAGAATATGTATGAAGTGGATGAAACACACAGAATACTAATATTGCTAGATCAGAGAGAATGCATTCTGTTACGCAATACTCGTTTTAATATGAGGAAGAATGTTTAAATAAGTTTTATTTTTATTTAACTGAACGTTTTCACTCGTTCGTTTGTCCAGGATTTTACAACCTCGCAGCAGGAAAAGGGGTAATTGAAGAGGGTGTCTACAGATGAAGGTCACACTCAACGGTCACTTTCTAGTACTGTCTCCCTGATACATCATCATCTCGACAGGTTTACCATATCCTGACAGCACCGACCGGCTTCCTAGGCAGTCACTACAGCGATAGTTTGACCTAAACTGAGATGTTCAGAATAACTCTACACGTTTAAGGGGTTTAGATAAACTTTCGGTGAAAATATCCCTCTCTATTTATCCTCATTGTGGGGTGGCATTTTTACCGAAAGTTGATCTCAACCTCTAAAACGTGTAGAATTACACCTTTAACAAATGTTCAGGTCCCGGATATTATGACCGTATTGCAACACTGTCAAAAAAAATTCGTTCAATAGTCTAGGAAAGTTATCTTTATATAAAATAGTTTGCACAGCTAATCACATATGTATGGCACATACATGTAAGCATACTTTATATGTTACTTTCCTGTGTATAATTATATTCGCTTTTCACATGGCATACTACATAACAATGACAGCCGCAAATCTTAATTACCAATTTTAACTTCATTAAATATAGACATACACTATGATTACTGATGTCCAAGCTTAGATACATTTACTTGGCTAGGTAAAATGATGCTGGCACCGATTCGAAGCCTGGCTAGCTTACTGCACCGTTAAGAATGTTTAAAAGGTAATTACAGAGAAATGAGAAATGTCTGAATATTTACAATATTTACAATTTTTGTACGTGGTTTTTATGCAGAGACGAATACACTACCGTTGGTTTGTATCGGACATAAAATGAACAGCAAGTATCCTTAGCGCATACATCTTCAATTTTAAATTTCTAATCTATTTGAGAACATAGAACAGCCAAGCCCTGGTGTCTTTTTGAAAAGATAGAACAGCCAAGCACTGGTGTCATTTTGAGAATATTGAACAGCCCAGCACTGGTGCCATTTTGAGAAGATATTACAGCCAAGCCCTGGTGTCATTTTAAAAAGATATAACAGCCAAGCATTGGTGTCGTTTTGAGAATATAGAACAGCCAAGCACTGGTGTCATTTTGAGAAGATAGACCAGCCAAGCACTGGTGTCATTTTGAGAAGATAGAACAGCCAAGTACTTGTGTCATTTTGAGAAGATAGAACAGCCAAGTACTGGTGTCATTTTGAGAAGATAGAACAGCCAAGTACTGGTGTCACTTTGAGAAAATAGAACAGCCAAGCACTGGTGTCATTTCCAGAAGATAGAACAGCCCAGCACTGGTGTATTTTTGAGGAGATAGAACAACCAAGCACTGGTGTCATTTTTAAGAAGATAGTACATGCACAACCAAGCCCTGTTGGTGTGATTTGTGGTGACAGCTATAATCAATATCCTCAGTCAATCACATCATCAAAGTATTCATAAATTGTAAGGACACAGCTTAAACCTTATTTCTATAGAGCAGTTATTAGAACATAAAGTTCCCTGGTTTTACACAGAGCAGAGATGTATGAATATATTTGTAGTCTGTTCACAGATTTTTTTATTTATTTTTTATTTATTATGAAAATGTTCAATTAATGGATTAATTATCATATTAAAAGTAATTAAACCAAATGTTGCTGAATATCTTTATTATTTAAGACATTCAATTGATTATGTACTGTGCATTAGAGTGGAAAAACAGCTGTTTTCCAAACAAGAGATCATGACAGTCATCTTGGATTCAATCATTTATTTGAACTGTTGAACAGTCCTTCACCTCACTTTAAATACCATCTTGGTTCTCTGGAAGAACTTGTTGCATCTGTGACCTTATGTAATTAATTTATAGACATAGATTTTCAAATCAGCAAGCTACAGCTCTAGACCAAATATTAATTGTAATTTGTTTGAATTGGACATTTGAAAAAAAACCAGCATTGATAACTCTTCACCCAACCAGCAAAAACGCATATCTAATTACTGTAAGTGGATAGTTCACTAGAAAGTCATTCAAAGATTTTTCACAGTTAAACCCCGCCACCTGGAATATGAGTTGGTATTATTTATCTCTTACCAGAGCCGAAGGTCCCTCACTGAGCAAGCTACATTACAAATATCACTTCAGGCCTCCTGATGTTAGTAAGTGTAGATTGCACAAGATGGAGGTTGTCCATTTAACAATGAGGCCCAATGGACATGCATCGCTCACCTGGTATCAATTCTCACACTTGTAACCTTAAAAGTGGACTAAAATAATGCTGTAGGCAAAATATCAGTCTCTTGATTCAAAGTCATTCAAAAGAACCAGTAAACAATTTAAACACATTTGACCCTATTTATAGTTCTTCGTTCAATATATCAAAATAGCACCACCCTAGAAGAGATCTTTGGATACCGGAACTCATGGTCCCATATACGTGAAATTTTTATAGAAATAGTATCTATATCTGTAATCGGTGCACCATTTTAGAAAAGTACCATGGTATAACACACAATAAACAAACAAAATCAACAGACTAAAGGAACTTTATTGCAAGAAAACAATTAAAATAAATTTTCATTTCACAGTAAATATCTGAATCATATATTATATCAAATAATCAAATTTGAACAACAAATTGCACACTGATTTGATTATTCGTAATTAAATGTACAAATAACCAATAAATATATAAGTTTTGTACATTGTTAGTACATAAGTTAGTAAAACTTTGAAGCCAAGGGAGACAATTCATTTATGTCACGATATCTGTGTTTTATTGCCCAATAACCATCTTGCACATCAACTGTCAGGACATGTACATAATGAGTTTGGAAAAAAACCTGAAACTTTTAGGTTATTTTGTGAATGTTCCCCAATATTCCTGATGATGTGATAAAAAAAAATCTTTTTCATACCAAAATTTATTAAACTTGTGATTCTTTTTCTGTATAATTTCTGCAGAATCTTGAAACAATGAAAAGTTCCAAGTCCTGTATCATAAATATCCCATAAAACAGAAACTTATATAAAAGATGCTTTGAGTTTTTCATGCACTGTAAATATTGCCTTGCTTCATCAACTGATTTAAGAAAAAACCAGAAAAAAAACAGTCACTTAAACACATATTTGTATAAATAATGATTCATGAAAAATACATTTATTCAACACATGCATATCAAATGCAGTACATATATACCCCAGGTATATACAAAAATATTAAATCCTTACGGTCAAACCAGAAAAAATCAAGCAGGTGGAAAAAAAAGGAAATAAAATAAATACAGACAAAGCCACGGAAAATGCTAATGTGGTTTGGCATCAGTAGTGCATTCATTCTGTTCATGATTCTCTGTTCATTGTTTTGCTTGTAAGAATTGAGGATCAAAATTAAATAGTTCAAATAATGCTTAAGGACATCAGAATAAATATTGCAAATATGTCTTCAACATTAAGCTACAAGTGTATCATCAGCAGTGACAGCGGTTAGAATAACACTACCATAAACCAAACGACACCAGACACTTAGATTGTACACGCAATTCATAATGGACAAAACTCATATATTCTCAACCTCACTATAGTTGCTGACTGGTAGTAATATCTTATTTTGAAACCACTTAAATTTAAAACCAGGAAACATTTGGAGACAGCATTACAATGTAAAACAAAAAGAAAGTCAGTATTATTTGGTTCATGATAACGTCACTGTAATAGAGCTCACCTTGTCAAAACTGCCAAATTCGGATTTATGTCTAAACTGGCCAGAGTATTGGGTTCCAACAAGGACAATATATAAACAAGCAGACTTTCTAAGATTCAGACCTCTCTGAAAACAGGGACAGTTATGTGGTTCCAGGAGTGTGTGATTACCATGTAATACTGATATACTTGCTTAAAGTAGTCATTTCAACTACTTTGAGCTGAACCATATTACTTTACATAAGGCATTAGGAAGTACAGTAGTTGTGAACAACAGTTTGGTGACCAGGTTCAATATTCCTAGCAGTTGATTGACTTGTATTATCGTGTTTTTTAGTCAGTTTTAAGTAATGATATTTCTTTCCTGCCAAGAACCATGATTACAATAACATCATGCTATTTCAGTTCAAAGAACTGTACATTATGGAAAGAATGTTGCTATGGTACAAGACAAATTGTTGCTAGGCAACCAACAACCAATTGCATAACACACTTACCTTATATTACATTGACAATTGGATCTTGAGTTTTCATCAAACTTCATCAGTTAAAAACTAAAAAAAGTATCTATTTCAACATGTTCATATATATTTGAGCTATGTACATTGATTTCAATTTGTAGTTTGAGGACATGAGCTGATGATGTTGAGTCAGTTGACACTATTCCTCCTGCCCAGACTGGGTGGTTGCAGTTTTCTGTCGTTTATATGCCAAAACATACTCAGACTTCGTATGGAAAAGTTCAAAACAGGGTTCTATGCATAAAGGCACTTGACACTGCTTGCACTAATAATTGTAGACCCTCCTTTTGTATGATTTGTATTCATTTTAGCCTGTAATGTGAATGTCAGGTGATCAGTGGTTCAGACGAGTATACAGTTGAACCACGTTATCTCAACTCTTTTAACTTGAATACCCTGTTTATCTCTTAGTATTTCTCCGGTTCCGGCCAAATCTCTTCATTATCTTTTTAAATAAAACTTTGATAATTCGAACCCTGAAAAGTTGAAAAACTTGGATACCACGAAGTAAAATATAGGTTTCAATAGCGTGAATCAAACATCAAAACATCGTCTACTTCAAAGTGTTCGAATTTCATTTTGTTACTTATCATTATATAATAATTCTTTGTTAAAAATAAAACGCAAAAGTATGACATCTCACCATTCCGTGTTTATATGAACATCTTTCATGAGTAGACTAGCATGAAATCGGTAAAAACAATTTACGATAAAGCTTCAGACTGTAAAGTGTGCATACTGTCAAAACTATGTTGTTCATAACAAAAAACAAAATTCATCAATGTTGATCAACAGTATTCTGTACCGTTCAATGATTTGTACACCCAAACAAACGACAGTGCAAACCAAAAAATTGGTTATGCATAAAAGAGTTCCACAGTAAAAATGACAACCTAGGACAGCTTCACGGGTTCATGTTTTTACAGGAGCCAGAATGGCTTTGAAAGTCAATCGTATATCATTCATCCAGTGATTATAAGCATTGGCTATTAATAAAAACTGCTAGTGCTATGTCCAAACAGTTTCATACCATATTTATGAACCCGCATAACTCGAATACTCAGATAACTGGAAGTTTTCCCACGACCCAGTCGACTTAGTGATAACAAGGTTTGACTATATATGGTCTTTGACAATATAGTTTTGTAAATCAAGGTTGATCGGTTGCCCTCTTTTTGGCTTGGACTCTCTTTATCCCTGTACCTGCCTGGTTTACATACGGTTCATGGCTTCAGACACACCTGTGCCATACAGCAAGTGGAAGGAATTTAACTACTTCTTCTTGCACACGACAATCATTCATAACTTATAATTAAGTGCTATTAGTATTGGTATTGTAATAGGATAGGTTTGTGTTACCAAGCTTTTCATAGACTTTATTTAATTTGTAGAAAGAGTGTGCTGTTGCCAATCACATGGTCATAAAGCTACAGTCTAGTTTTTGAATTTACTGGTTAAGTAAAGGTAAGTTTTATGCTGTTTTAATGCTACATACCTGGTAATAGGTCAAATATCTGCCATATTGATAACTATTATGTTACATTAATTCAGCCACCTGTTTCTTTATTTGTCCTGTTTGGAACCACACCTGCCCACACAGAACTTGCACATTTTATTCCCCCTCCACATTGAAGCCATTTTGGTCTCTGTGGAGTATAACATATAGATATAGATTCAAAATGATAGATAAAGCATTGGAAACTGTGAAAAAAATGAAATATGAAGTTCTGTAAATTAAATTATATGTAGAAAAAATGTGTATAACTCTGATTGTTAAAATTGACACCAGATGTCTCACTTCTCAGACACACTCCCTATGCATTGTCCAATATTATGTTCAATGTTTTTGGTTTGAGTTTTCAGGTCACTGTTTATGTAATATTTTTTTTTTTATCAAAAAGCACTATTTTACACAGGTCAATAACCTAATGACCTGACTAAGAATGGTACAGAGAGTTGGCACTTTTGTCTTGTTACTCAAGGTATATCTTCACTTCAAAAGGGAAAATGTCAAAGTCAGTGTTTGTCTGCCTGAAGAGCTGGGTGTGTTGCCAAGCAACATCTCCCTTCCCGCCACTGAGGTTTGCTGTCAAGGTCATGTCAGCCACACCATTAAGGTCACTGACAGATTTTAGGTCATCTGTACCTGTTAAAAAAACACAATACTATTACTTTTACAGCATAAAGTTTTAATAAAATCTACAATTCATATAAATTTATCAATGCACGTAAAATTTAAAGTTTCAATTCCCATAAATAAAATGATCTAAAATTCCTTTTTGATATTGAAGAGTCCCCATTTAGCACTGCCAAAAACTAACTATACATTGGAAACTGTTTTTTATCATTTCAAAAAAGGAAGCCATACCTTGTGAGTCTTTTAGGAAAAATAATACAGAAGAAATCAACAGAAAGAAAAACAAATCAGCAGGGCTAAACCAGGAATTGAACCCTGGACTAGAGATTACCATACCGTCGCTCTACTGTCGCTCTAACTGACAAAGCTACTTTGTAAACATTAGTACCTTGGCCCACTGTAATGACTTGTAATACAGTTATATTCAAAACAAAATTAAGCGGAGGTTCCTCCAGGTATATATATAGAAAAAAACACGGGAGTTCTCTAGTGTTTTGCCTGCAGCAGGACAGGGATCCTGAATAAGCCATCAATGATGTGAGAGTTGAGAGTTTTGTTTTTTAGTGAACATCTATAAAACACTCCCTTCAAGCATTTGGGAAATTTACAAAAAAGTTAAAGACTGTTCTTTGTCATTGCCCTGTAATATTTTGTCAACTATAAGTAGAAGAAAATTCTCAATATTCTTGATTTTATTTTTTCTAATCTAACAACAATAGCATTAACTTCTGAAATTGATAACTGGTAAAGTAAAAACCATTTTTTTTTAAAGTTGCCCAAGCATTCATGTAGAAACAAGGCAGAATCTTATGAGTTATGAGAAAAACCACTCTGAATCCTACAGCTATGACAATGTGTTTAAACCTTACCTTTCAATATTGCACACTGATTATCACTGCACAATCTCCAGGACAAAACACCATTCTCATAAGTTGAACTCTTGACACAGATTTCAATGTTCCTGACCTTTAAACCTGAGCCTGTTTGGAGAAAGGAGAACACTTTATAAAACAAAACAGCAGCTATGATCATGATATAGGTACCGTATATATATTAAGTTGATGGACAACGACATACACAGACCCACAGTATAAGCTCACTCGGCCCTTCACGCCGGGCGAGCTAAAAACCCTGATCCACTAATTCAAGTTTAATTGTTTGACTTTTCTGGCAGCAATACAAAGGTCACTTAGCTTCTTTTGATCTGGTTAAAGCATTTTAATTGGTTGAACCTGGAAAGAAACAACAAGAACAGACCAGGACTGGCCACTGGAAAATGGGGTCCAGTAGCTAGTATTGCATGATTGAAACTAAACAAAGTAATATTTTATTAATACGAGGGAGAAAGAAGCACAAAGATTTCTTGTTTGATTGCTAAATATTTGACAGAAAACTCTTTACACACAAACTACATTTTGAGCTCTGTCTCTATCAAAGGTTGACCCAAGATATAGTGCATTTTGTTTTCTCAGAATATTTCTGTGCCTTTCTGGACTGTTTTATTCTGATTAATGAAAGGGGCCTTAATTTCATCTATAATAACACCAACAAAGGGTAAAAATACCTTTGAAATCGAACTTCCAAGACAGGGTTGCTATGGCTGAACCCTCAGTCCGTGCCAGGTACACCATTTTCCAGTCGTGTTCTTCCTTGCGGAAAACATTGGTGCTCTTGAACAAGCAGGACCCAAATCCAGACATTTTCTTATTTTCATCAGTGACTCGAGTGTACTCATCTTTAGCACAGTTATACCTGTGAAAAAAACCCATTGTCCATACATTTGTCTTCACCACATGTACATGTTGCTGTATCAAATAATAAGGTTTTCACTTCCTACAAAATTACTTGTTGGCTTATGTTGATAAATATCACACTTAATGACTTTTAATATTTGATTTTGAAATGATCCAAGAATTAATATCACATAATGTGTATGTATGGTATAATGTATGGATCATTGGATGTATAAATGTATGAATAATATGTTTATAACATGAGCAGGCTATATTACATGATAAAATACAATATGCATCCATGCTATACCTACCTGACATGTAAAAGTTTACCCTGTTTTTCACTGTCTGTTAGTGTAAAGACAAATGGCTCTTTGATAGCTTGTGGTGTGTTCCCAGTTTCCCCGCGAGCTAATCTCCATGTCAATGACCCAGTAGTCCGTCCCGACAGATCATTCTTATCACTTTTCTTCTGTGTAATGAATTCCACAAGCTCCACTATACACCTGTTCGACATTTCCTTACGTCGCTCTTCTGAAACAACTTTGTTCTTTTCATTCCATAGTCGGAAGCAGACTTGCCCTAACCAATTTTCCCTGACTTCCTTTCTGCGACTCATCATCTCTTTGAAATTAGCGCTGTATCTCCAGCTGACGTCTTGCACCTCATCCTTGGAGAATGCTATCACATAGGTCAGTTTCTTTCCCCACCCAACCTCGTACAGAAGGGGCTTATCACAGGCATTTTCACAAGGATCACAGTGCAGCCAACGTTTCTGGCTGGTTGAATACACTTCTGTCCACACATGATCAGTCCAGTCCAGAACGTATCTGGCCTCAAAACCCATGGTCCTGCAACACAGTGTAAAACAGTTGGCCCACTCCCCACAGCGCCCTCGTCTAGTGTCCAAAAGTTTACCTGGGTCATTGTAGCGAGGAAAGCGCACAAACTTATTACACCCGTCACATCTGTAGTTCTCTACGCGTGATGCTCCCCAGCGTAGGTCCTCCTGACTTGGTTCTGCTGGTCCTACACTCCGTGTCTTTCCTTGACAAATATCACACTCTGGAGCATCCACCCACTTGAAGAAGGAATTCTTAAACCAGGCAAGGAGAGAGAGAAGAACGCAGTCCTGAAGACCCACTGCAGAGGCATCTTTATCAGCTGTCTGTAAGGCACTGAATCTTTTTTTTGCCTCTTTGTTTAATTCTTCCATTGGAATAACAGATCTTGCCTTTTGCTGAAAATCTCTCCTTTCATAATTCAGCACATGAACCAGACTTGATTCAATCTTCATGAAAAATTGTCTTTCTGCTTGCTGAAATATATGTAGTATTTAACAACAAATTATGAAATAAATATGGTATAAACAGATAGCATAAATATATTTGCAGATGAATACTTGAATAAGATTAATTTGCACATCCATATAGCAAACATTCATTCGTGGATGTATTTCTCCACGCAACATAATTGGTATTTGCAGTATTAGATCCTCAAGACATATAATTACAATTTCATTTGAGATTGATGAAAATACAAATAAGTAAGAAGTTCATTTAAACTACAATTTTGAATAAATATATACAAAGTGTACCACTTTTTCATTAAAGTGCAATCATTGGGAAATAAAATAATGCCAAAAACGGAATAATTACTAAAATAGCTTATTTCAGTGGACTTCTTATTTAAGCACTTTTGCCAATTCATCAATGCACTACTCTGGCTAATTTTGATAATGTGCTAAATTTGGATGCCTTAAAATAAGTACATGTATGTTACATCAATCAGCATCAAATGGTGCTGAAAACAGGAGACTGTGAATACTGTTATAATGCAGTAACTGGTAGTACTTCTGAATGAATCAAAAAGACCTCGAATAGCAAACTTGTTATTCTATTTTTAACAAATAGATTCAAATTGTAGTGTATTTAAGTCCAGTTGTTTTTCTCTAAAATATTCAAGGACAAAACCTTTTAGTCCTGTTTAGCTGTGTTTGGCTACACCAGGGTTTTTGTAGGTTTCCCTATGTCGTTTCTGTCATTAGATTCTCAAGATTTGTAAGTGGTCGACCAGATCTACTTATATACAAAATATACCAGGTATATTTATATTAGGGTGAAACAACTTTACGTAACGCGAACTTGGCTTAGGGCGAAACGACCTGTGGTGTGAACGGGATTTAGAGCGAAATGACCCAGATCCTGTACCTGCATAGCCTGACGCGACATTGGAGTTACTGTCTGTGCTGGAAGCTGGATTTGTCTTGCTGCACTGGGTGTGACTGCAGGCTGCTGGACTCTCGGTGTGGACTGCCCTGTCGATGGTCCTCCAGTCGAAGACCTGACAAGCTTTGTAGCAGTGTGCAGCTCATTCCTCACTTGTATCAGAGTGAGAGTAGGGGGAATGCTGGCAGGGAATGTCAAAAACTCACCATCCTGTAAAGATAAATTATGAAGAATTCAAACAGTTTTAAAGTGAATTCTTTCATTGCAATGTTCAGGACCACTGTTCACCTGTCGATATGATATGACTACAAGTCCAGACATGTGTCCATATGCAAAATGGTAAATAAACACTGCCAAAATTAAAAAAAGAATTTTAACCTGAGAATTGTTTTTCATAAATGATCATGAATGGTAAAATTTCAAACTTATACTTAATTGACAGAAGTAATAAGAATGACTACCATAAGGACTGTTTGATATCTAATATTGTGGACACATATGAGGATGAAAACAAAATGCAGATTGTAGACTTTTACAAGGTCCATAATATTTCTGTGCTTATATTTATCATTCCACACATACAGTATGAGGCAGTATGAAGCTGATTACAGTGGAGGTTTATAATAATACCACATTGAATTTGTCAAGTCTTTTTTATTTAATGCAATGTCTGATGAACAGGATGATCGTACTATGGTGTATACTGAGAAGTTTGATGAGACAGCCATAGAACAACAGTTTAAACAACCCAACAAACATGTTGGGAGCCGATACCGGACAGACAGACACTCACTGTCTACTATACCAACGTGGATGTATTACCTTTTTGCGAAGAAGACAGAATTAGAAATCTACAGCTAAAACAACCACCCAGACATAATACCTGCCTGACTGATATTCGTCATAAAAATAATGTTTACAAATACAACGTTAACCCTTATGGAAGACAATACTACATTTTTTGTACTTCAGTACTTTGGAAATTACATCCTGTTTCTTGGAAGCAGTTTGAAGAGCTCATCATCCAATGTAAACAAGGAAAAAAATAGTGATATTATTGAAGAGCTAATACCACCGCATTCGCAAGATGACAGTGCATCATTTGTCGTCAACCTCACCAAATCAGATAATAAAAAACTTTTGGAATTTTAGAAAAAAATGATCTCAGTAAAATACTCTCACAAACTAATAGCGGGAGACTCCAATAACAAGCAAATCAACTTGGAAATACAAACAACCAATGTGAACATCAACAAAACAAGAGGTACAGAGGCCTGTATCACCTACCTGAATATTTGAGCAATCATATGGGGAAAAAATCTCAATAAAAGTAATTTTGCAAATCTATATTTTCATCATATTGATTCTCCTAACAATAATCCAAACTAAATGAAACTTTATACTACTCTATCCCATCATGCTACTGGTCAAATATAAACATCCATTGCTTCCTGGTAATGCTGAAGAAGTTGTTTAAAGGTTTTTCCATATTTGACCCCTTTGACCTTGGAAGGTCACATGTGTCTAAGTCATTTATAGATGAATTTGCTCAAAGGTTTTAACACAATTGAGCCATGTGACCTTCAACGTATGTCAAGGTAATCCAGTTGATGAAACCTCATCATTGCACTACATCCCAGCATAACTACTAAATACTATACACCAAAGACTTCACGTCGAAACCAAAGAAACTATAAAAGGAGCTCTAACATTTACTTACAAATAACTGGATTCATGGGAAAAGGCTAATGTTTGTCCCATTTTTAAGAAGGGCTCATGGAAAGATCTAGGAAATTACCGACCAATTAGCTTAACATCTGTTCTATTCAATAGTATGCGACGCAATAGTTCACCTTATGAGCTAGAATAATTTATTCAGTAAAGAACAGCATGGCTTTAGATCAGGACGCTCGTGCATACCGCATGCATATATATAGCGCAGCTATTAGAGACACTAGAAGATTGAGCACAGGCCATGGACGAGGGAAACAAGGTTAACGTCAGCAAGGCCTTTTACAAGGTCTGTCATCGCCTTCTGTTACACAAATTAGAACTATATGGTATAACAGAAACTGCTAAACTGGAATAGAGATTTTCTCACGAATACAGAATAAAAAGTTGGTATCAATAGTTTCTCCTCCAGAGCATTACCACAGGGCACTGTCCTCGGCCGAATTTTATTCCTTATATATATGAGAATGATATACCGGTGGTCATGATCACTAAGTGTGTAATTAAATTATTAGTGGACGATGCAAAGCTACATTCAAAAAGTTTGGCAGCAAAGGATCGGGAATAACTTCAACAGAGTATCAACATAGTCGTATAAAGCCATGTTATATACGTCTCTGGACAGATCAATGGTTGATGAAACTAAACATTGAGAAATGGTAACACATGGAAAATGGAAACAATGTTAAGACCTCAAATTAAACTACACAATGATGGTAGGGAACACTTGCGCCACAAAACAAAAGGAAAAGCATTTGGGAGTCATCATAGACCATAAACTGCACTTCTTAGTCCAAGTAAATACTGCAGCAAATAAAGCTAACCAAATTAAGGGTGCTATATTTAGAACTTTTATATTAATGGATTTGGCAATGTTTACATCACTACAACTACAAATTTCCCTATCCCGAACGACTTAAATCCCTTGGATTATCAACGCTCAAATACCAACGTGAAAGGTCTGACCCGATTTAACTTAACAATAACATTAATCTATAATCTTATAGTCTATAGACAACATAGACACTTTTAAATATTATTTATAACTTTGCATTTGCAACCGAGAATCAGAGATTCAAAGTCGGTATAGGGGGCCAATTTACAGATGAAGAAAACCGTACCAAGCCTCCATACAAGTGTGAATTACTTACAACAAGGCCAAAATCAGCGAAGGTTGCAGAAGAATAACAGAATATAGTTATACCATTGCCACAGCAATATCACACAAGTCCATATAAATCTCTGATTTAGACAAAGTTCCCACAGAAATCAAAATATCGAAGGCAGTTTTTAAATGAGGATGTAGCCTAATAAGCTGTCACAAAACACATCTAAAGTTATTCCATGCTGAAATCTACTCAATTATTGCTTTTTGTTATTTTGTTTTGTTTTAAACTGCTTCACAGACAAAATTATATTAAAACAAAGATAGAATCTAGACTTGTTTAGAACTATTGCCCTTTAGCAACTACTATCTGTCAAACGTGTGCATTTACCTCAATAAATCCCATCTCGAACAAACATTCCAGTGCCCCCGACACCGGCAATAATTTGTTTTCGACCGTCGGATTTGAAAGTCGTATTTTTCTATATTTTGGATCATTTGGATGGTTAATGATGTTATCTGCAAACTTTAGGAGAATATCTGATGCTGTCAAAAAATCTTCTTTCCCGTTATCAGTGATAAGTTGTTTTACAGTGCTGTGAATCTGTGCCATCGTGTATGCGGAAGTTCACTTGGCCTGAGTAATGTAAAAACCTGATCATAATCCGGTTAAAACCGGATCCCAATAAAAACCGGATCCCAATGAGAAACCCTTACATACATGGGTGGAGTAATCTAGGCGAAACACATCAAAGAACCAACAAACAGACATTAGCGAAACGCTACACTGCACGTCGACTATCATAATCAGTGTAATTCTCATTTCATTTTTACTTCTAACTTCAAACAATTTACTTTTAAAACCGACGAGTCGAAATATTCAATTTAGGCACTAAGAACTTGAACGTTGCATCTCGATGATATGCACAAAATTGACTAAACAGACAGTGAAATCACGTGCCTCGTTAGAGGTTCATAAAACCAATTTCATTTCATTCCACCCCTTACCGACCCGGAACTGCTGTTGTATAAGCTCGATGGACCGCAGCGTAGAATAGAGAAAAAAGATCATGAAATAAAAAGAGAATATTTTTCAAACGGAAATATCTTTACGCTTACCATTCCGGAACACCTGGCCTTGTTCTACTTGTACTTTTTCAAATGTCTCCCGCAAGGATTTTATTTTTTATATTTTACCCTAGTTTTATCGACTTTAAGATTGAATTATATAGTTTTGTTGCGGACACTTCGATAGGGGACACCGGGGCAAGTTCGGCCCGGAGTCAGACCGGCCACCCCTGAATTTTTGGTCTGGAGCAGATCAATCACAACTTTGAGGATCTTAACAGTTTAGTCGGGTGGGCAGGATATACACATGAAAAAATGACGAGGAAAACCCAAAAATAAAATTACCAAATGGGAGAAACAGTAACTTGAATTTTGATGGGTACCAAAAATAAATCATGACCTCATTTCCAGTCAGATTTTGCAAGCTTTCTAGTGAGAACCGAATTAACGTCATACGCGTAAATACACACTGATAGCTTCATCTGATGGTATAATATAAAAGTCTAACATCAATTTGGGGCATGTTCGGCTATTGTGATACCGGGGCAAGTTTGGTTGGTTGGTTAAAGGGTTTTTCGCCTACATGATGATTCCGCCCATACGGGTTTCATCTCACTGACGGAAGTTGTTCTATCGGCGTAGATTTTTTTTTATGCAAGTTTGGTACATGTACCACATAAGAAGTCGTGAAAGTGGCGGGAAAATATTACCTTGCATGCTGTGCTTTATGATGTCATGATTATGCTGATTACAACGCGTGGGCCGAACTTACCCAAGACTTCCTGTCCCGCGAACTTGTCCCGTCATACGGATTTATGCATACATTTTCAACCTTTTTTTACCCACTTACCGTAGAGATATTTGTAGAACTGCACGGTACTGCAAACGGCAAATTGAAAGGACATTACACATAAATTTGGGAATGGAAGGCTTTTTTACGCCTTATCTCAAAATATATAAATGTCATTGGATGTTCGCCTATGATTGGCTATGGAAGGGGAGGGGGAATAAATGCAATGTTATGTCTTTATTAAAGAGTAGAATCATCTGTAGACAAGCAGAGGTGATCTGATCAGCTACATTATTATTACAAATATATATATCCACGGAATTAGATTATCTAAGTCCGTGATATATCACATGATTATGGACTCGGTGACGGGTATTTGCTGTGATATTAACAAAAGACTAGAGAAATGACTTGTCTGCATCGTCCACATTATTCATAATTTTGACAGTACTCAATATGAGGTATGACAAGTGATTTGTATAGTGATAGGAATGTTGATTAAAGTAATTCCTAACATTATGTGGGAGGGTAGATTGTTTACTTCTCACATTTGTATTACTTTGTTAAGTATAATTGTTGTTTATGATTTAGAGACAAGGCTCTGTTACTTTCTGTGTTATTCACCCTTATGTAGGGTAGGGCTTTTCGTTCAGTGTAGGATTCCTGGCGATCAGCTGCTACGATACCGGTGCTGAAATCTGTGTGTTTGCACTTTTGAGACAGCCGGAAGTGGGTGATAGTAATAACAGGAATAGGTTCCCGCTCCTTGCTCACATGCTTTTAGATGATGAGGCTGGGTTCGAGATTAACAGTTGATCACTCATCTTCGAGGCTATTTGGTGGGGGGATAAAAGAGCGGGTCCGGGCGGCGACCAGTGCATCGCTCCTCGGTGGTATATATATGTGTATTCATGTATATGTGTTCATGTATACATATATATATATTTGGCCATTATAAACTGTATAAAACGACCCATAAAATAGGTCCTCTCGCTCATTCGGCGTAAAACCCCACAAGGTTAGCGCGGGTAAAGGAGGGAGGCCAACAGTGCTATATGGACCTATTAGTTAGGTAGGAATAACGGGATAAGCGAATAATGAACTAAAAATCAATATCGGTTTATCTGACACAGCCAATAAGAGTAATATAACACCCTATCCAAGCAATTACAATCTATAATAAGATAAAACATATGGCAACATGATCTTATACACATAAAAGTAAATACAACAACAACCAAGTATCCTCCAACTACCTATCCATCCCCCTCCCACAAATCGTCCCCAACACTAACCCGGTCCATACAACTAACATCTGAATAA